ATCACTGATTGATGTCAGATGGATAGGTCAATATTTGTAGAAATCTGTTAATAAATACTATGTTTGCAACATATGACATGAAAGCAACTGCTACCAAATCTAATAACCATACTGGTATATATATATCCAAATTACCAACTGTACAGACTGAAAATGTAGATCTCACAACAGTACAAGCCCTTGTAACTAATGTGTAACATGAAAGTTGCATTGAAAATACTAAATGTAATTGCATAGGGCTGTCTATCTCATCATTTTCTAAAAGATCTACTAAATGTGAATACAATAATAATAGCAAACTACTAGGTCATTGTGAAGCTATTCAGCAACCATTATACTGCTAATCAAACTTTGAAGAAATTCTGGGAAGAGAAGCATGGAAAAGAAAATATACTTTTACTGTCAGGAAAAACCAGGTGGAACAGAGTTACGTCTTTTCAGATCTTTCTGTGCTAAAATAACGACCAGCAGTGTGCTAAAACAGATGATTCTGTGTCCTACCAGCATTCAAAGTCATATTTTTCGCAGTACATTTTGCATCCAAAGACAAGTAACATTCAATCCGCTTCTACCAATTTCAGTGGCCATCAAGAAAATTGGGGATATGATCTGTCTCTCAAATACTCTTGACATATCCAATTTCATTAAAAAACTAAGGTTTTGTCTTATCACCTGTACACTAAACCAAAGGAAATATAGTAAAGTAACTGTTTTCTGACAGATCTGAAATTTGTTCTCATCCAGTTCATCTGCCAGCACACCTTTTACATCCTAATCCGAGAGGACATCATTTATCAGGAGGAAATATCTACTGCTCTCAATAAAATTCTGGCTATATGTCCTGCACATCTGGAAACAGCTGTGATGAGACACTGCTGAGTACCACGCCAAAGAAAACATTTGTAGCACAGACTTAAAACTGGTCAGCGGCAGAGAACATATTGTCTTTTACATGGTAGAAGGGATACTGCAACACTTGACAGTTGCCACCACGATCCAAAGCATTCCATCAAGAACAATATCTTATGAAGAAAGCTATAAGGCTTTCAGCCCAATTAAGGTTTTTTAAAAAGCCAAAAACCATGAAATATACACATTGCCAAGTAAAAAAATCTCTTGCTTCAGGAGAACTGACCTAAAACAGAACAATTAGGAAATAGGCCCATGCAGTGTGAGAAATGATTCTTGCCCATAAACTCACCCTTAAGTAAAAAAGAGTGGCTGGAACAAGTCTGAAGACTCAAAGTGACTGTACAGATTTGATCTGACAATGAAATTGGAAGTATCCCAATACTGATCTCAGTAGAAATGAGAAAAATAGTGGATAGTTTTCCACTACTGTAGTTGTATACTGCAACTACATCTTGCTTTGCTCTCTACTACTGAACATTATTTCCAACATTCTAGTATTTTTCTCTTAATACCATGTTTTTGCTTTCCTTTAATGTTCTGTTCAAAGCTCATAAAATAGGATAGATTTAATTTTTTCACATTAAACATAGCTCCAATACTTGTTCAGTCTATAGACGCCAAGCTGAACATACCAATTAAAGCTATATTTATTTCCATTAAAAATGCAGGAAAGTCATTTCTACTGTAGGTTAACAGCTCTACAGCATTAATGTAAATCAAGTAATGCTAACAAAGAATGTCAATATACTATTTTTGCTATGGTTGCATAATTAAAGGTTGGAAAGGGATCACTTTTGCAAATTATTACTTTTCAAATCAGATGCTTCTGTAGAGCAAAGCTATCCAGTTTTGCAAAAATGTTATTAAAGGGATAAAAAATCAAGAATACTTTTAGTCATAACCAAGTTAGTCCATTACAGCAAAAGCAACCAGGTCCCATTGCATTTAAATACCAACACCTGTATTATGGTATTACCTTTCAGGGATGAGAATCCACCATCCAAAGACAGGATCAAGCACATATCCATTGTTTAATCATAGTCCTAGCTCAGATAAAAGACATTTCCTAGATTGTTGTCTATAGAAACTCATGCCTTAAATAGTACCAAACTCCTGATTCTTCAATGTTGCTAAACAACAACAACAACAACAGGGAAAGCCATCATTCAAAACAAATACCTGTAACAGGGGTCACCTTAGATGCCATGCTTGAGACACTGGACGTTTCTGGGATTAAAAACATTGGTTTAGCATTCTCCGCTTGCGGAAACAAACTACTGTGAGCGGAAGACTGGACTGGTTGGGGTGGCTGAGCAGGCAAGTTCTTCTTCAACATCTGAGCAAAACTTGGCACTCTTGAAACCTGAGGCCAGTCATTTGCCATTTTTTCCCACCTAAAACAAAGTCGAAACAAAGAGCATTACTGATCAGCACCGTATTCTGGAGTCAGTAAGGAGGCCTGCCGTGCGCCCTACACGCAGATGAGAGGGGAAGAGGGGCTGGCGGAGGAAACGTGCTGCCCTTCGGAAACGAAGGAGGCCGCTATCCCTCAGCCCACCCAACGAACTCCAACGGAGCCTCCGCCTTCAGGAGAAACCACACCAAGCCGAAAAGAAAGCGCGCGTCGCGCGTGACCGAACCTCGCGGGGGTTCTAGAATCCCACGCGGGAAAGGCCGACTCCGCCCGCCTCCAAGGGTGCCGGTCACGTGATTAACACTTCGCCTCCTCCGCCCGACTTTTTAACGGTTCCTGGGCGGCGGCTTGCTGGTTCGGGTGCCTTTTGGCGGCGAGGGTTGGGGGAAGAGAGGCAGGGGCACGTGCGCTCCTCTTGATTTGTTCGAAAGGAAAAAGTACGATCTAAACAGACCGTCGACTGCAGGAGTAAAGGTTGCCGTCAGCTTTATGAAGACAAAGGATTTCGGGGAGGTGGGGAACTGTGAAACGTCTTTATTCCGCGGCTGAATTGGTGGGAAAAAGCTACACCTGTTAGATCTAGCACGGCTTCGCTCAGCTGTGTCGCATTACCGAATCTGGCTGGCCTGATCGTAACTTTCCAGCCTCCTCCATACCGAAGGAGGAAGCCTTGCATTTTTAATTGTATCTCCATTTTTTTTTCTGAACATCACAGCTTTTGACTCAGCAGTTGTAAATATGTTATTAATTTATACTGAATTTAGAGGGGGGGACTGCAGTTCAGTTTAAACCTTTCCATTGAAGTCTTAAATGTGCGTGTCTAATCAAGGTACTCCAAAATAAATGAACGCTGTATAGTGATTTATATGGATAGTGATCTATTAAAAGAATTTCGTATTCTGGTGAGAGTAACGCAGTGAGTACAATACGAGGTCCTAAACGTCACCTGAAAGTAAATAATGCCATCAGTGATTGATCACATTGACAGTATCCAGTACTTTTCCCATCTATCCATGTAATAGTCAATACTAGTTACAAATGTCCCTTGTATAAAAAATATCAGATAAGCTCAGTTACATTTGATATTAATTTTTATTTCAAGTAGAACACACTTAAACTGATACAGCTCTATAGCAATCACAGTCCCATAAATTATATACATAAAGAATTTATACAATCTACACAGACAAGAAAAAGCTATTCATGGAATCACATAATCCAAAAGGGGTTTTCTGTGTTACAGCAAGATAAATTTACGAAAATTCACAGTTACTTTGTTGCTCAGAGATGCAGAATATTGCACATAATACAGTTGTAAATATAAAACAGTTGTTTTACAGTTTTCTTCACAACATTGGTCATGCAGTGCTAGACTGAACACAAAATGGCATCCTGTTCCACAATAAGTTATTCATAATATTGATCAAGTTTTAAATATAGCAGCAAAAATGCTGTTAGGTTCTTTCAGTGTAAATTGTTTTAAAGTTATGCAGTTGTAAAACAAAATTTTAAAAAGTCTCTGCCGTCCTAATTTTAGGATTTTTAGTGATCTTCCTTGTCTTTGCCTTTCTTTTCTTTTTCATCCTGTAATGCAGTGCCAAGTTTTTTTATGAGAACTGACAAGACTTTGTCCAGGGGGTCCATGACTCCACGCTGAAGCCACTTAGGAATAGTAGTTCTTGCATGATGGAAACCAAGCTTCTGAAGAATATAATCAACACCTACTGGATCAATCTTTCTTCCAGTCCAAGAGATTAATCTGTAAATTAAAATATTCTATCACTTTCGATATTTTTACCTTAATTAATTTTCTTCTACAGTTTAATGCTTTACTGTATCTTAATAGCCATAGGTTATAAAGGAGTTTTATAGGTCCAAAAGAAAGATCTTGCAACTCTCACTGTATCATTCCAGCCTTTCCCTTCCTCCCCTAGGCCATCCCTAATTATGTCCTAGCCCAGCATGTCCCCCCAGCCTGTTCGCCCCAGTAATCTTCATGCCATTGCCTTTGGCTCCCCTCCTCCCTCCCACATCCCTTTGCTCAGAAGTTGGTTTTGTACTGTGCATGAACCAAAACATCAAAACATCTTTCAGTTCTGGTGCAGGCCACCCAAAACCAGCTGTTTCATGCATGGAATGGTTGGCAATCCCTAATTTCAAAGTGTGCTGTGCCATCTTTTCTGGGTTTTATTGGTATATTCCAAGGAGTACTCTTCCTTTTCTTTTTTTTGGCTGACTGTGGAGATTACAGTCTGATCACATTTGCCAGTATCTAAGGTCAGAAGTAGGAACACAGTATCTGAGGAGACTATTATTTAAAAATTTAATTTGCTCTCAGTTCTGATTGAAAAGTATTTTTGTACTTCCTTAATAAATACTACTGTTGCTTTTAGGGAAAAGGAGTATTTTTCTTAAATACTCTGAACTATTGCATTGTTCCTCTTAGGTTGGGTTGCTAAAGACACTAGACTGCAATCTTATATAGTCCAAGGAAATAAACTTTGGTAGTAATACTGAATTGTATAAAATGGGGCGGGGGGGATGAATCAAATGAACAAATAGTGTAAAGGATTTTCCACTGTGACTGTCTTTTTCTGTATTTTAAGGGGAGGAGTACATTGATGGCTGCACTTATGGCTTTATGTCTTTGGGTTTGAAAATTTAAATACTAGAAGACAACCAGTCATAAGCAATTGTCACTGTAGCCTGTTTATCTTTCCAGAAAAATATGTTATAGCAGGAAGAATTTGATGGGTGTAGAAAGATAATTTTTGCTGTTCTTCTGCTAAAGAAGTTGGATTTGGTTGGAGGACACCCAGGTTATTCCCACAGAATCATGAGTGGGACTTTGGGTCAATCACTATTTCTCAGCCCAATTTATTTCATAAGGTAGATATTAGGAGATAAAACATTGCCTCGAACTTCTAAAAATTAAGTTAGAAGTTAACCTTTAAAATAATAAATCCAAAACAAAGTAAATAAAAATGTGAGTGCAGAATGCCATCACAGTGATTAGGGTTAAAGCTAGTTAATATATAAAATATACAATATATAAATAACATATTAACTAATAATAAATTAAATACTAAGTAAATTTAATGTTAATATATATTATAAAATAATATATATAAATCTATAAAGCAATATATTATTCATAGTATGAATTTTCTTTTCCTATTACACTTTTGTAAATGGTTCCTAGCTGTCTGTAAAACTGCAGTCATTAGCTGGAAATTTGTGACATAATTAATCATTTCTATATGTCAATTCACTATATAGTAATAATTAGTGGAATAGTTGTCTGAAAATAAGATTGATTAATGAAAACTATTGCTTATTACCTCAGTGTGGGCTCCAAATGCCAGGTATTACAGATAAATTCTCTCCAATCCACAGTAGTGTAAGTAACACTTTCTTCCAATTCTTTTTCAGTAGCACTCTCATCAAGTACACTGATGGGGCTTTTCTGTCCTGGCCGACTAAACAAAATGCGAGGTGGAAAGATTGCTACAAAAAGCACAGAACAGAAACATTTCTATTTTAGGCTATCACTTTTTATTTCAGTCATAGACCAGTATAAAATATACAAGATTACAACCATTCCAGAAATTAATTTAAGATACAGAATCACAGAATTGTAACAAATTTATATCTAACAAAATTATAGAGGTTATTAACATAAAACTATAGACTAAGTACACTTGCAACACTGAGATCTAACTATTAGAATTCTACATATTGATATTAAAGTATCAAGACAAAGATATGGTGATAAACAATAAATACCATAAAATAAGTGAAATAAAGCAAACTGAAAAAAAATCAGCAAATCAAGCAATCTAGTTTAATCTAGTTTGTACTGTCACCTTCTCATAAATGTCATGGCATAAGATATTTATTGGTGCCATAAGCAGGCTGCATGAAATTACTGTACATACTAAAATTCAAATAGAATTATTAACATAATGTACTAGTTGGAAAGATTTAAAAATAAAAAAATAAAATTGAGTTATCTCCAAGTAAATAGTCCTATTTCAAAAAATTAATATACAGGTAGTCCTCAAGTTACGACCACTGGTTCAGCGACCATTCAATGATATGATGATACTGAATGAGGGGGACTTACAACTGGTCCATGAGGTTGCGGCCTTTGCAGCGTTCCCACAGTCATGTGATCCCGAACTGGGTGCCTGGCTTGCAATTATAATGCTGCAGTGAGCCACAGTCACATGATCACAATTTCCGATATTTCCTGCCGGCTTCCCACAAGCAAAGTCAATGGGGAAGCCAGCAGGAAGTGGGAAGTCACTCCCGCTTTTTCACCTGCCTGCACTCTGGAGTGCCTACCCATGGCATCCCCACAGCACCTGCCCATGCTCCAGACTGTCTAACTGCAGCACCCACACACCTGCCGGTCTGCTTGCCTGGGACTCCCACCTCTTCTTGCTTAATGACCTGCACAGTTGTGGAGTTACGACGGCAAGCTGCAGGATTGCTGTTGCTAAGCAGTGACATCATGCTTTACAATTATATTGCTTAGCAATGGAAATTCTTGGTCCCAATTCTAATCCAAGGACTACTTATATTAAGAATATATATCAAAAGCTATAAGCAGCAGAACTAATAAATACTAGATCTGTGCGAATAACAAGCCTTTGCCAATCGTAAGATGCTGTAAAGTAGCCAAAAGTAGTTGTAGTTTCAGTCAGTTGCTTTAAAGCCCTCCACAAGTGTTCTAGGCATATATGTCCACATGGAGAAGACACTTCCATTGGACAGAAAGTGAAGTGATGTATTTGCATAACTGAATTTCTGAAATATACCTTTATCATGTATTTTAATATATCTGTGACATAAATGATGTTTTTTCAGAAAACTTCAATTATTTTTTGAACAGATATACTATATACTATAATATAAAACATTTTGGGTCCATGTAGCTTAAAACAATTTGATTTTAGCCCATGATATTTCACAGTATCTCCATGCTTGTAAAGGAAAACATTCAGTTTTACAATATATGACAAGGTAATGTAAAAACTTTAAGAACTGGACATGAAACAGAATGTTACCACAATTAGTCTCTGGTATTCAATCAAAATAAAAATACTCCTACAAATTCACAACAGTTTTCAATGTCATTTGTCCTGGAACATAAACTGAAAAAGTGTTTTGTAATGGTAGCACAGATGTTTTGAAGTTCATGAACATTGACCATATATCCTGAAAAATAGTTTTAGTAAACTATTTTAAAAAAAGGTTCATTGGCTACATTCCTCTTCAGAAGATCGGTATTCAGTATGGCAGAGAGAAAAAATTAGAAATAAAATCAAAATATTTTACTACTAAATATATAAAAATCCTCAGATGAATTATTACACAAGTCATAGGAGTTCATAAGAAGATGGCCCACTGGATTAACAGTAATTGATCTACATACCCTTTTCCTTTTCTTTAAGATAAGCAGAAACTAAGTCATGCAGGAACATTATTAATTCTGCATCCATGGTTACACATATGTGATCTGTGAATTCTGTTACGACACTGCATTCCACCTTTGGCTTAGCACTGGCATCTGTAATGAAATTCTATCAATCATTTAGAGAAACTGGTAATTACATGAATAAATATTCTGAACAAAACATTTAAATGAGAAACTTTTTAAATGCAAGATAAATAGTGAAAAGTGCTAATCATATGTACTGATTTCTTTTCAGCATAATTTTGAAATGAAATTTCTGACAATGCTTTTGAGATTAAGGTCTTATGATATCTCTGACTGATGGACAGTTACTCTGTACATGCAACATGCTTGCATTCAAGCAATTCTAAAATGAAATCCGGTGCCTTGCTAGTGCTCCTGAAGTGTGCACAATCGAAAGGATCTTATGGGATCTTATGCTATACTATCCTTGATCTGAAGTGCTTACTATCAGATAATTTCTTTCAGATTTTTTGGTACATCAACAGCAATAAAAATGACCATTTTATAGCAACAGCTGGAAGATCAGATTTCAAATATGTAAATTTGTTTCTACTTTGTTTTAATATTTTATAATTTGACCACTGTGCAGTACTGGTCATCTTACATGCAACTGAACCTAGTGGGACATTCTTCAAGAATACAATACAGAATTGCAGTGTTAATAATTTTACCTGATTCATTTCAATTCTCATTTAATAATGATATTAGACATGGAGTCACAATTGTCATGACTTAAATTGATTTTTTTCTTTTCTATATAATTATAATTCCCTTTACACAAAATATACATTAAGCTCATTGCATAAAAAAATTAACACAGGCTACCATGTATTAAAGGTTCCTGAGGTTGTTGAACATGAATGGATTTGAAATCCAGCTGCATTCTTGGTAATGCAAATATTGTTTCAGTCTCATGATTGTAACTGGAACCACCTCTGAAACCACTTAACAAGCTGGAGCTTTTCACTGTTGTAGTACTCTCTGGATTGTTTGCGTCAACATTTCTGAGAAGATTTAACTCTGGAGAGAGAATAGCAAACAATGTTTCTAAAATACCTTCTTTAAACAATTAAACAAGTTACTCTCATGAGGCAGTATTAGAAATATTTCAATTTATGGAAGCTTCATGTTACCATGATCTATATTTCTACAAAGAATTTTAAGTCTAAATTTCTACTTGATTATAGTCACACCTTACCAAATTAAAAAAAAAAAAGCTTCAGACATTTTCACAAATTTCTTATTCTAAATTTCTTACTCTTATTTTCAAGAATATAAATAATACTGTAACAAAAAAATTTTTTTTTCTTCATACATTTTTCTTTTTATTAAAGATAAGTATAGATTTAATAACACCTTCATGCAAAATTATAGTTCCAGAATTTAAATTGTCTGCAGTCAGGTATAGGTTTTCAACTACTTAAATTAATTTTATTACCCCCCCCCCCACACACACACACATGGAAAGAAACACACATACACACACACATACAAATATCTAAGAGAGACCTCAGGTTGATTACTATGTAACTTAAATCAAATAGGACAATTTACTACACACAAAATGACTGAATATCCCTCTCTACAAAACTATGATAGAAAGGTAGAAGCAATGTGAAAAAGCCACTACAGTAACTGCAATTACTTCTACCAAGTAAGAAAAGTTATGATACCCCCTAAGAGTTGTTACTTTGTACAGTATAAGAAAATCTCCTAGTAAAAATGGAAGAAAAAGACATATATTCCTGTCTGTGGTCTGTAGCACTCCTCCAAAAGAACCTAGCACAAGAAGCTGCCTCTTCTGCCACAGACACTTATTATATTTACATACAACGCAACTTATTTCCTGATGAAATTCCCACTAAAAACAATCCTTCTGTTGCTTTTCATTAAGGTCACATGATAGGTTCAGTGACCCAATATATTTGTTACAGTTTAGCATAGTATCTCTAGCTTCAGAGGTTATTGGGTCTGTTCTTTCAGCAGTTTCCATTAATCAGTATATTTTGCAAGGAAGAGGTACAGATTAGCAACATAAATAACAGCTCCTTTGATTAACGGAAGTCTGGTTTATCAGAAACAAGGAGAGGGGACAATTTTCAGTGCTTTTTCCTTCCCTGAACCCACCTCATACATTATTCCAGAAAGCTCTTCATCCATTCAGAGCAGGTTTTTAAGGGACCTCATTAAGAAGACAAATTGGTGAAAGCTACTTTACCTGTGGGGTTCCACTCACAGGAAGTTATTTATATTTATTTATATTTCAAATTTAGATACCGCCCATCTCACAAAGAAGTGACTTAGAATCCTACTTACAGTATATTCTAGCTCTGTTCTTATTAGCAATATTAACAGTGGCTTATAATTTTTACCATACAGATGTTGCACATTTTAGGTATAGTTGTATGTAAAAAAGTTAAGTCAAATAGTGAATCTTTAAGTGAATGGAAATTGACAACCTCTATATGATACAAGGTTAAAAGAGTGAGACCCGTTTCATTGCGCTTGCCATCTTTTATCTTTATCTTTTTATGTTTTATTGATTTTATTGTAATTTCTTTTGTTTCATTCTCAGCTGCCCAAAGTCGTTGAGAGTCAGGTGGCATACAAATTTAATACATCATCATCATCATCATCATTATTATTATTATTACACATACCTTTCTGTAAAGTTGAATGCAACTTTTAATATACAATTGTTTCAAGATTTAAAATAAGAAAACTGAATATTTGGACATCATTCCGTTGCCTGCAACTATTAACTGGAACTGCTGTAAATTTATGCTGGGGGAGATGGGCAGCATATAAATTGAATGAATGCATGCATGAATGCCATTTTCCCAATTGGCCAATAAAGAGAAATTTGATTGCTCCTACCTTCATTTCGTGTAGCTGTAACATAATTGAACCATTCCTTTACGCTTGCAACTCCATGTGGTGGATTTTCATGACGTCTCCTTGTTATCTTAGTAATTGTTGCCATAGGACTTTGTAGGGCACCACATGGTTTTGTTACCATAGTATTGTGACCCAAATGGAAGTCTAGCGTTTGCACAACATATGTAGAATGTTCGCTGGATCCTAAGAAAGGTTGGACAGAGCAATTTCTTAAATCTTTTTGTATTTTCTGAAGTCTAATCACTTCAATGGTCTACCATCACAGCTATCAGATATTGCCCATAACTGAACATCCATACAGTGAAATTCATCTAACAGTAAACTATCCCCTCCAGGCACAATCTTTTTAGTCGTCATTGTATATAAACTCAGTAATCTCTTGATACCATGGCAAACTCTCACTTAAATATACATGTAGAATTTTATTCGGTTTAGTAATTAGGATACAAAAAAAATTAAAACAACATTCAGCCAATGTTCAATCTTTGTTAATTAAATATCAGTTACAACTTAATATGGGAAAAGATTAAACAAAAGGCATAAAAGAGGCTGGATACCTTCTTGCCATATTTTTTGTGCTTCAGTCCAAAACGCAATATTAGGTTCTTCAAGATGAAACAGAGCCCATGATTTTGAACGAAAATTAGGTCCATGGAAACATGCCAAAGTCATGTGATTTCCATGCAAGCTCATAGAACCTCCAAACTGCATTCCATCTTCTGGTAAGGGAAACTGAAATAAGGATATGTGGCACCCTGACACCACCTTTAAAACTCCTGGCCAGTGGCGATGATGTGCTGCATCCAGTACTGGAAAACAGCACACAGACATACACAAAGACAAGACAGTGACATTATGATTAACATTATGGATGCAACAAATATTTCTAAAAACAATGTGCCTTAGCTAGAAATATGGACAGGAATTTCATTAATGTATTTTCATTTTTTCTAGACTTTGATGGTTGTTTTGGGGAGAAGAATGAGCAAATAATGGTTTTTCCTATTTTCCTATACTGCATGTATAGCAATCAGGTTTTAAAACTGTCATAAAATATAAACACTGTCTTTCAATTTAAGAAAAACATCACAGCATTTGAATAGACTAATGTATGAGAAGATGAACTGATGTGCAGTGTGTTGAGTACTTATTTTTTTTATAACTTACAATGTTGATGCAAATGTAGATTAAATATTTAGAAGTATTGTGTGCTTCAAATAGCTTCTGTTTTGTTAGACAAAATGAGCGTAAGAAAAATGGTGCACACTTGTTTTGTGGCTTTCCATATTAGGATACACATATTTTTCAAAACTTAACTTTAAAAATAAAAATGTTGCTGAAATGCAGATTTCTGGGCTTAGTGATAATATATCAGCTCATCTTTTCAGATAACGTTTTTAGCTGTCTATCTACCAATCTAAAGATAAATCAGAGAATAGTTCTTACTTTTATTACTCCTTTCTAGCCAGTTTCCAGAGTTATTCAGTAGCTTCTGGAAAACACAGTTTTTTCGAGAAACTATTTATGAGATTCTGCTAAACAAGAAGATGCTAAAAATACTATTTTATCAATGGATACTAACATCTTAAAGAAAAAAAAATCCTGTTCTCTTGCTGTCACTGTATCAGTAGCAGGTAAATGAACTGGAGTCTAGGGAACTGAGCAAATATGCATCCTTGGAGTTTCTTGACCAATGGGTTCAGAAATTAGCAAAGCCTGATATATAATATTTTTGATTATGATCCTGAAAGGTAAAAGCTTCATGATATTAAGGAAATTGTTTTCATACATACATTGCTGTTGTGAATTTTTCTCTACAGTATTGACAACAGTTTTGGGAGGAAGGTATGGTACAGGTCCCCACGTGGACAGAGCCCTTTTGCTTGTATCAAACTGCTGAGTAAAGAATTCCTGGAGCTTCATTCCTATTTTGATGAGGTCTGGTGTAGTTGATCTGGAAATCATGACTTGAAAAATATCCCATTTCAAATCACCATGGACAAATATCTCACTAGAATATAAAAAGGATAATATTTTCCATGAATTTATAATGCTTTACTAAGCTTTGAAGAGAGGGTAATTAATACAAAAACATTTAGTGACATTTTGATTAAAAAATGGTTTGAAATAATAAAAGCAGAATTATATAAATTATATATAATATTAATATATAATATTAATATTATATTAATTAT